CTTCAACTGCCTGCCACACTTATGGATTGATTTGCCAACCAGAAGGACAAGTAACAAATTCATGAAATAAACTGCTCTAATAGAAAAGCAGCCTAGAAAGTTGCAAATAAACTACGTGAATCATTCTTCTGTAGTCATTTTTTCATATGATCACATAAGTTGAGATGTTGAGTGTACTAGTTACAGTATCCACGTGTCCCTGTTAATCTAAGATTTGTTTTGTTTGGTTATTTTTCGTTTTCAGGGTGTGAAAGTTTCCCTCTCAGCATCTTCCGTTCCTAGTATTTCAAGTCTAGATTGCGATGTTCTGCACCTGATTTGGACAACAGAAAAGCTTCAACAACAACTTAATGTGATTGACCAACGTTGTCAAACGTACCTATCTCTCACTCTCAATACTTCCTTATATGCATGCTGCACTTTCTTACTTTCTTGCTTGAGCATCAAAGACCATAGTTTCATAGATCCCAATCAACCTTGCTCACACCCAATTTTCAATCAATGGTAGTTCAGAGCACTAATAAGGAATTGGGCTTTGTGAATGGTTACTGCGATGAACTCTGCTGTTCCATGATGACTGTGATAGGGTAACCTTGCTCACACCCAATTTTCAATCAATGGTAGTTCAGAGCACTAATAAGGAATTGGGCTTTGTGAATGGTTACTGCGATGAACTCTGCTGTTCCATGATGACTGTGATAGGGTGTGTTATCATGAAATTTAATTGTTGTCATTGCTTGACTTATTTGAGATATCTGGCTTGTGCCGGCTGGTTGAAGGTTTGGCCGGCACTGTTAAACATGGACAACCAGAAGGGATTGGTTAGTTGGTCACAGATATGTTGGGAGTAGAATCATTAGAAAGATACATTATAGTCTTCTATGCTCTCTTCATTTGGAGCTGTGTTCTTATGTGGATAAGGGATGCCTAGGTCTCCAAACAAGTGTGTATGTCCTCGGGAGTCGGGGTTGAGTATATTTCATGTGCAGGTCAAGAAAATCAGCTTTAGCTTGTTTGAATTCTGGAAACAAGAAAGTGGCGCTGAGGCATGTAAGGCAGTTAAAGTTGGCCAATGAGAGTAGAGAAAATTGTGCAACGCTCTTGAATAGAGTGGAGGAAGTCCTCGATGTTATTGCAAGTGCTGAATCCACAAAGAAGGTAATTTTAGGAGTGAAGATAATCTTTTATATTAGCTTTTAAATAAATGAAGAAAAGAAAATTGAACTGTGGAAATCTTCAGTAAGCTGATCCAATTTGGCTTGTTGGCAGGTTTCTGAAGCCATCCAAATTGGAGCTCAAGCAATAAAGGAAAATAAGATGAGCGTGGAAGAAGTCCAACATTGCTTACAAGAAATTGAGGAGAGCATTGATACACAAAAGCAAATAGAAAATGCTTTAGGTAATTCCTATTCTTGAGTTAAATTGAATTAAGCTGTGTGAGTTGTTGTGGTGCAGGATTTATCATGCAGGCAATGCTTTTTGTTATCATATCCAATTTGATGTCTTTGGATTTTGCAGAATCAACTTCGTTGTACACAGTTGTTGAGGATGAAGAAAGTATTGAAGAGGAGTTCAAGAAATTAGAGCTGGACATTGAGGTTAACAGTGCAGGAGAAACAGAGGCTTCGAAATCCACTGAATCATTGATAGACTCCTTATCAAATCTCAAGCTTGTGGATGATGGTCTAGCAAGAACACCAGCAGTTCAGGGCACTGTCGAAACAATAAGAAACAACAAAACAGAAACTCCCGTGCTTGAAACTGCCTAACATTTCCCGGATCCCAGAATCATATTGTGATGATTTTGCTCAAGTGGTAAGTATAGTCAAATCACTAAACTAGTTCATTGTATAGTTTTCTATTTTCTGTATAAGTAAAAAAACGAGTTCCTTGTATAGTTTTCTGCATAAGTAAAACCCTTGTAACTGAACAAAAAACCTTGCATTGCAATAGCCATTTTCAAAGACATCAAAATTAACCCTATGAATGACCAAGTAAATTTTGTAAATGGACGACTTCAGATCAGGGAAGAGTGGCATTTTCCCCTTAACTGGTGCTCAATATGGCACATAAAACTTCTCATCGGATTCTGTTGTCCTGTCCTGTTTGGGTTTGAGTGGATCCCCTCCTTATATGCCTTTGTATTTGTCTTTTTGTCTTCGGTTTAATAACTTCAGAGTAAATTGTTGACATGAAATTGAACAATTGGTCATACGCATGGTCCAATCCTGCGATACAACATAATCGTTTTGACTTAGTCATAGGGCCTTGGTAGGAAGACACTTCATGTGGTGTCGGCAGGTAAATTGGCTCATCTTTGATCCTCTCTTCTTCTTCTTCATTTTTTTTGGCCTCTCTTTCTTTTCGCTCTTTCTCTTTAAGAAGGCTCTCTATCTGGCTCCTCTAGGGTTTTGGAGGCTGCTACATGGTTTCTAAATCCAAATGTTGAACAAAAACCATGATATGCTTAGCTTTGATTGGATAAAGGTTTTCTAATATAGCTTGCATGTGACAACGCATGAAGAGTGTTTTTGTTTTTTCTCTCTTCTCAAGCTACCAGAAATTTCATTCGAATCATCGATAGTCTCTTTTGGCATTTGAGATTGAGTCTTTGGCCTCAAAACAAAAGTGACAAAATGCTTACTTCAGGAGCTTGTATCATATTATAAATGACGGAAACAGACACATGTCATCAAAATTGAATAAGCAAATTATTTTCTATACTAAAAAAGTGAACCCATTTGAGCAGAAAAACTTGTACGAAACGGGTATAACATTATTTTGCTATTCTTAACCAACAACAGACTACCACAAGGAAAAATTATCACGTGTGGCATATCGTAATTGTCTGGTGGTAGCAAAATAGTGCTATTCCCATTTCATGGAAGTGTTTCTTTCATTTGAGGTTGCAATCAAGTTGACAAGAATTCTATAGGGAGGGCCTTATATATGGCCCTTAAGTGAAGCTCTATCTCTTAACCGTTGAATCAAATTGACTAGCCGTTGAATCAAATTGATTAGTTTGATCCAACAATTATAAGATAAAACTTCACCTAAAGCCATATATAATACCCTCACTATAGAATGACTCATCCAGTTGAATTGAATCTATGCCAATAAAATGGGGGCCCAGTAAATTATTATAGATAGCCATTGGCTCCATTGTTGAAGAAGGTGCGAGCCATCCAATCGCCACGAACTCTGTGAGGGCATCATCAACTCACGTCGTGTTTGGAGCCTTGTTATTATCATATCATATCATATCATGGGCAATGGGCCATCGGAGACCATGATCAGACACGTGTAAGAAATCCGATTGGGCATCAGAATGACCACACTGACACAACACAGCAGCTGTCGTTTGCCTGAGGTGGTTTCACAAACAGAAAGGTGACCGGTCAAATGAAGGGAAGAGATCAACGGTGGGTGAACGGCACTTAAACTAGAAGTCTACAAAGATGTTAATTAATAAAAACAAATTTGGTCGGATTTAATTGATTGATTAAATAGTTAATTAATAATTAATGTTAAGCTTAAGATAGAAAGCATTTCCAATTCCCCAGGGTTGGCAAAAGAAATGATAATGTAATGTTAATGAGGAGGAAAAGCAGTAGGTGTGAAGGTTGAATCGTCGTTGGGAAGTTGTGTGAGCAAATAGTTAGCTATAGTTAGGGATGAGGAAATTTGACCGTTTGAGGTTGGGGTCAGCCTCAGCACAGCACAAGTGTTGTGTTGGGGTTTTGGGATGAGTGCCATCTGGCTATGACTGGTGTCCATTCCCGCCCATATATCATCCCATGGGCCATGGGTGTTGGGTGCCATAAACATAATATGCTTTTCATTGGTTTGACTCCTTGCGGGGAAAGTGATTATTAGGAAAAAGGTTTTTTGGAATGAAAACGCGGACACCTGTCTCTCGTCCTTGTTAAACGCGGTTTGCATTACATCATAGGTTTGCAGTTGCACTGCAGTAGGAATCCATTATGCATATATCCCCACAATAAAATATGTTATCAAAAGAAGAACCCAAAAACCTTTCACTTTCTTAATAAATAAAAAAACAAAAGTTTCACTTTACACAAAGTTCAAAAGATATCCAAATTTTATACCCAAAGAAACAAAAAAAGAAAGAAAGGGCAAAAACAATGCAAATCATTCACACGTCCAAAAACAAAACAATATAATAGAATAATAGAATGGGGGTGGGTAATTGGATCAATTCTTGTACAAGAAGATGGAATTGATAATAGGAAGATGGGTTTTTAGAGTGAAATTGATAATATGAAAATAACGTGGTATTGAATACGTTGATTGCCTGCCTGTGGATGTTGTCCTATCCTATCCACCTAATCCTATGCTGCTTCTTGTTCCATCACAAATTCAAAAGGAAAGGTGTGGTTGATATATAACCAACCACGCCCTGAACCCTTTCTTTGTACTTTTGTACTAGCGAGTGAGTGAGTGAGTGAGTGAGTGAGTGAGTGGGTTAGACGATCATCTTCCCAAATACCAACAACAACCAACGTACCCTCCTTTCTTGCTAAAACCCATCAACCTAATTGTGCTGCTGCAATTCCGTGTGTGTTGGGATCGGTCAAGTGAACAAGGTGTCCTAAACCAATGAATATATTATATATTACGTACGGTTAGAAAAAAAAAGAAACCAATGCGAAGTTTCAAAGAGAAAAAAGACAAAGTCATATTCAATATCTTACACCCACCCGTGGGCGAAACTTGTATAAAACAGCAGAGGCAGATGACGCATAACAAATTACTATCAGGAATCAACTCAAATTACTGTAACTTCCCTGACTAGTGTCTAGTCATAACTTAGGCACAAAGACATGTCGACTTGGAACCCTATGAGGGAGGGCATTATAGGAATTAACTGAGCATGAGATAAGATATATATAAAAGAAGAGGGAGAAAATAAATAGGGTAGATGGATAGATGGATAGATGGATGAATTTGGATATATATCAGACCATAAATCTATCTGATTACCTTTACCTTATCATGAATTGAGCAAACGAATGATCCACAAAAGCCCAAACGACACACTCTCATCTTTGCACTCTGTTGCCTATAAATAACACCACCAGTCATTCTTCTTCACTCTGCTCTTCTTCTGATAACCAACAAAAACAACAAAACTTTGTTATTACTTAAATTATAACCCAATTGGCCGATTGCCCTGACTGCTGAGGGAGAGAGGGAGAGAGGGAGAGAGGGAGAGAGAGGGAGAAACAACGTCCTAATATGGCGTCAGATGAAAGTATGACCATCCGCTCTTGCATCTCCATGCAGGAAGACGAGTACGACGATGATACGACGGATGATGGATATGATCACCATCCCCATCTCCACAACTTGTCCAGGCTGTCTATGTGTACTAGTAGGAGTTCCACCTATGGTGCTCCTGATCAGGATGAAATTGATGATGATGTTGATGGTAACTACTTCTACCAAGGCCAACATCATGATCAAGATCATGATGCCCAAGAGCAGAGTGGCATGAGTATGTACATGTCACTCTTGTCCATGGAAAGCTTTGACGCGGATGTAGACGACGAGGAAACATTATCATCCAATGATAAACGAACCAAACAAGTACTACTGGAAGCTGGGCTGTCATCCGACTCCGACAAGGAACCCGGCTGCTGTTACTCGCTTCCAGCAACACCCCCAAGACCAAGGACTCAGGCTAGTGCTCCAGGTGGAATGTTCCATTATAAGCATCCCAATCCCATGTTGGTCAAAGAGTATGCCAGCGAGAACGAAGCTCAAACGCTGATGAGCGGCGATTCCAAGAAGAGGAGCAGGAGGAGAAGTAGGAGGAGAATCTCATCAGACAACAAGGAGAACATGAATATGATGATGAGGATGGGTAGTAATCAGCTTGACCATTGTCATAGCTTTAGTGGGGAGAGTGAGGGTGGCTCTGGTACAGGGCTGGTGGTGATAACAAGGCCCAAAGGAGGGAGGAGGTCCCTGTGCATGGACTTGGAGGAAGTCAAGGCTTGCAGAGATCTTGGATTTGAGTTGGAGCACCAGCACATGCTGCAGGAGATGCCCTCTCGTCTTTCTCTCTCCGCCCCAACCCCTACTCTCACTGTCGATACCAACACTACCTGCAGTAGCGGTGGCAATTCCCCCATCGCTAACTGGCGCATCTCCAGCCCTGGTATGCCTAAGCTGCCTGCCTTCCATCTTTTTTTACCTTCATCGTCTAATTTGAGTACTAAATATCTCTGCTTCAGGTGACGACCCACGGGATGTCAAGGCTCGCCTCAAGGTCTGGGCGCAGGCAGTGGCACTGGCATCCACATCAAGACAAGGCAGCGGAGCCGACTAATTCACAAAAGACCATCTATTCTATTCTCTCTGCATTTGGTTTTTTTTTTATGTACTTCTGACACGCGCATCGGATGTCGGGGAGAGTTCCAAGTGTGGGGATTGAACAGAGTATAGTAGCTTTTGCATTTTCGTTTCCACTACTAAGCACATTTTTCTTTCTTTTGTCTGGCTTTTGGGTAGATTTTGCCATTTACTTTTTCCCTAGGAGAGTTCGTATATCTGGTTGACGATCCATTATCTCTATTGAGTTAGACTATATTTCACCCGTACCTCCGCAGCTTCTCAACATTGTAAATATAACATAACCGATTATTTTTTTCATGATGATAGACTTACAATCACACTTCATTATGTTGATTATGTGTAAAGATTTTGAAGTTTCCATTTCGTATTTCAAGTTTGTGAGATGCTTCCCCATTGGATATTGGTTTGTTTGAGTATAATAGTATTGGGGTTGATATTGTATTAGTTATAAAACATATATCAAAACCTTTTTATTGACATTGTATTAGTTACAACACATATCTCAAAAGTTTTCTGTATTCTACTTAGTCCTATGTTGTCCCATATGGACTGCCCAAATTGATCGGAAGCTCTCTAACAAGATACTAAAGCGAGACAAAGGAAGAAAGAATGTCATACTTTACTTGGATGAAACCCTGTCGGGGCATGACACTAAACCAAGGCACTGTTTTTAGCCCCACTCTTTCTCTCAAAACTCATAAGTAATCTGTGTTTACCGTTAATGGCCGTAGTCAGGCCTAACATACATGCTGGAGGATTTATACCAGTGAACTAGTAAATTAAACCCTATCCACGATATGAAAAGCAAATAGAAGGCAAAAAATTCCAAAATCTCTGCACAAAGAGACAGAGATACCATCTGTTCTCACTTGACAGAATGAAACCGCATGATGCATCTGGAACATATTATGGGCACCATCAAGGCACTTAGCAGATTTAGCACAGTAAAAGACAGCCTTGTGGATTGAGAATATGTCATGGAACTGGAAGATAAATCTTCGCTGCAGAGTATAACAGTCATTTCAGTCTCTCACAATTGAAATGGAGAGAGGGAATTGGGAAAGGGTATAGAAAGCTGAGAAATTGAAAGGCATCTGCTAATTTGAATGCTGAATTTGCTCCTTGGTTACTAACAAGGTGAAAGCTCGTAAACCGAATTAACACACAAAGATACATTTATGGAAACCAACACTTTCCCAACCCAAGGATGGACATTCCAGATCTCCCAAGATACAGGAGTGACACCAGAGGCTTAGCTAGCACTTCCTTTTGAGCTCTTACACGACAAACCAAAGATTTTCAAGGCTAAAGCAGAACATAAAGGATATCCTTGTGATTATGTTTCCCCTACCTAAATTTCAATAGTAATTATTATGGGATTAGCATATGCCCGCCTTAGAAGGTAAATGGTCATTAATAGAATCCCCATGGTAAAGAACCTAGAAATTAAGTTGGGAAACCTCCCACTGGGGTATTCTGAGATTAAGAATGTCTACCAAGGAAATAGGCACCTGTTCAAAGCTCTTCATTTTCAATGGGCAGTGCCTCACCACAAGAAGCTCTTGGTCACTAGAAAGTCAGTGATTTGTGGTCCTATTGACTTTATGAAGAGAAAGAAAAAGAATCCACTACAAGTATCAGCTAACACAGTCATAAGCAGGCCACTAATTATGAACCATTAACTTTAAAAGCATGAAAAAGTTTCAAGTTATCTTGAGATAGACAACAGAATCTCTCAGGTGAGAGAAAAATGAGGATGACTCCAGCGATTACAAAAAGTTGCAAAAACAAGCACACATTTTATTTGAATGAATGAATTGTTACAATTTCCAGAAATGGTAATGGAGTAAAGGATAAATTCTCACTCACTTGAACATTAGATTGTGGCAGGTGTTATCACAGGGGTATGCACAGTCAATAGCTTTAACTGGCAGTCGATCAAAGTACCAGTCTCCAACAGACAATGCAATTGCCTGCAAAATAAAAATGTGACTTAACCGATGCCTTTCAAATCTAACGCCATTTCATTATAAATGACTTTACTGAAGCCAAACTATGTGTATCTTGAGATTTCGGTGCTAAATTTAATCATTTAATGAGATTTCTGTGCTACAATTCACTGCCTATCATATGGTATAAACAGAATGCTTCTGCCATTCTCACTTAACTAAATCAAATAGATAATTAAAGACACATATGCATGAGTTCAAGGCTCCCCCAGATGTCAATTCATAAAACAACCACCCTCCCAAGTTAAACTCTTACTATAACTTCCACAACCATTTGAAAAAGTAATAGATATTTAAATGGGGGCATACCCTGTTTCCAAGAACAGGAGAATCATCAGCAAACCATGTATCTTGTCTCTCAGATTGGCAGTGAGCAAAGCAGGAATTTATGAATAAACCATTTTTAGTGGACATTGAGAAATCTCTAACAGCATTGAGCATTTGATTCCTGAAGTCTGCTTCATATGAGGGAAAGGAGAACAGCATTAAGAAGGAATTCTGTAAGTGTGTGCTTGTGTCTGTATATGTTAAGATTACACTGGCACAATAATTAAATAAAATCAATAAAAGAGCGCTAAAAAACGAGAATTACCTTGGAAAAACTGGATCTGGGATGAATTACAAAGTGCATGGTTTGATTTGCATGCACTCCATAAGCCACGAGGATCGGCAGATGTAGGGGCTAAACTAGCTTGAACCTGAAGAAAACAAATAAAAAAGACTTGAGCAAAATTATATCAGGGCCATGAAATACCAGTACAAAAGCCAAAATCCTTGCCAAACAGATAAAAACTGAATACTGATTTCTGTCCTATCAGTCATATGGTAGGCTCATTGGCTGCCTAATTATGAAAAACTACAGCTTTTTAATATGCCTCTTAGAAGTAGAGCATTTAGGAATAAAGCATAAACAATGCACTGGCTTGACAATCGAGTAGTCGCACCATGAAGACAAGACTGTTTGAGGAGGTATAGGTAAATACTTTCAACCAACACCTACAGGCCCTCCAGTACAATACGGTACAAACTGTAAATTGTCTATATAATAAAAAGATAAAAAGAAGATGACCTGCCATGCATCATAGGCTGCATTGAGAAGAAACATGGGAGTCTTAACATTTGCAACCAAATTTTGAGGAAAGAAGCACTGAGAGAGAGAGAGAGTTAGATTTTTTTAATACACATTTAATTGCATAAAATCAATAAAATCTAGAGAATTACCGAAGTTGGGTCTAGGTGGTCGATACAAGTCTTTGGAAGATTTTTTTGCACTTCCTAAAATCATAACAAGTAGTCAATATCACACTTTAAACAGGCTAAGTGACTGGAGAATTATTTAAAGGAAACCTGTAATGTGACAATTTGAAGTGCATATCGTTGTTCTGTTACCAGTCAACATAGATTGCAAATGTCCCAAATCCGTGCCAATGAATATTAGAAAACTTCTTATCAAACGAGCTCAAACAGAAGTTGTGGAAAGGTAGCAGAACTTTTTTGTTAATTTTGTAGGCCAGAGAAATTGCTACTGTTGTTACAAGCTCACAAGCAATCTATGGAAGTGGTGAGACCAATTTAGAAATAAATTTACTATTGTAGTACAAGCTTTGTCCTCCAAAGGTCAGACTCTGATCTAACCCTAAGTTTCTACTTCAAAATTGAGTCTAGTCAACCATGAAATGGAAGCAGAGAATGATGAACATTACCTGCAAGCTAACCACACCAGCAAACAAATTCTTTAGAGTGTGGCCACCAGATACATCAATTCTACAAAATATAAAACAAAACCATCACTAGAAGCATGTTCTTCAACTGAAGAATGCAAATTGATATAAGTTATAGAAGATCAGCTCGTTACGCATCAAGGAACATTCCAGCATCACTTAGACATTTCACTCTGGTAGTTTCGGGAAACAAGTCTTGGAACTCATCACAGTGTAGTATGGATGCCAGACCCCCAGCAGAACATCCAGAAAGAAGAGCCTGAAACACAATTAAATGAATAGTAACTAAAAATTTCGAAGCTGACTCACATGAACAATAGCAAGTTCAGTGTAAAACCTGGTCAGCTTTCTGCATTCCTTTGGACATTAACTCTTCCATAGCGGCTAACCATATCCGTTGCCCTCGAAAATGAAGTTGGGCAGCCTGAAAGGGAGAAATTAGAATATTGAGTGAGGTTTAAAATCAAAAGTTCAAAAAATCCTTTAGTTCTGAGGATTTTGGGACTATGGGTATAGTTCACTCAATAATTAAAGCTTATTCATCAATAAAATGTTCCCTCTAATTGACCATCTTGAAAATATTAGGCCAGCGAAGCTAAATGGTTAGAAGATGCTTGTCAGTAACCAAACTAATCCGGAGCTGTTATGATATCCCTAAAGTTTTTATGATTGTAGGATTGGAAAAACTCAAATGAAACAACCAACCTCATTCTGACTGTCTCCACTAAAAGAAGCCCCATCACAGTAACGTAGCTTGACCCTGTTCCAGTTGAAGAAATCTGCAAGCATGAGAGGAGAGGCCCATCCAGAACATATAAAAAAATTATCAATTACAGCTTAAGCACGTGCAAATTGCGTGTCAATGAAACAAAGAGGAGCAGAAAATGTATTTGATTTGATATAAATGGAGGGAGTGCATAACGTATGGAATAAAGGAAAAGCGTACCAGGGTTTTCTTCAGCTTTATTGCTCAATATTCCTGTGAATGGTAATTGCTTTTCCATGAACTTGGATGAACCGCGGCGAGTAGTTTTGCGATAAACACAATTTCTGATTGAGTTACACCACCCACCTCCCTGCAGAAGAAACCAAACAAATAGGAAATAAACCAGTTGCAAAGCAAACTTTATAAGAAAACTGAAATTGGAAATGAAATGTCAATACTTGATACCTCCAACTGAATGAGCCAGCTGTTTGCACCCGATCCATAGCCAGGATGAAGATGGTAACCGGGCAATGTGCCATCCAAGCAGACTGGCATAAGGATAAGAAGAATATAATTTATTATTCTTCTGAGGAGGAGTTGATTTGATGCTGACATTGTAAGAAATCTTTGTATTTCTAAGAGTAAGATCAACCAAAGAGAGAGAGAGAGAGAGAGAGAGAGAGAGAGAGAGAGACCAGCTCCTTTAGAAGCAGCAGAGTTGATGAGAGTGAGGGGAACCATGAGATTGAGAGGAGGCTGCGTCTGTGTCTGTGCGGGTAAGGCTGAGGAGGCTGAGTCCGCCGCATCTTTGTCCGCTAAGTCTAACCAAGACTTAGACCACAACACTTGCTCTTTCTCCTTCTCCTTCAAGGCAGCCGCCAATGCCACCACCAACAAACCCAAACAACAACATACACTTACTTTCTGCTGCTGCTTCATTCTCACTCAGACTCAGAATGAATCTCAATCAACCAACACCCCTCCTCCTCTCCTCCTCCTTCTCTTCTCTCTCCTCTCCTCTACTCTCAACTCTCTATTCTCAAACTCATATTGTTATACACAGCAAAATTAATTCACTCGAAAGAAAGTCAAAAAAGGAAGGAGGAAAGGCTTGTCTCTTCTTTCTTCTCCTTCTCATTTCTCATAATTCTATTTTTTTCTTTTCAAAAAGCAGCCGTAAAACTGGTCAGAGTCCAAACAGTGAGGAAACAGGACACTCGCGTCCGTCTATCATATTTCTTGGCTTCGTTCGTCCACGTCTTTTTTGGGGTCAAAATCTTTATTTTTATTTGTACTTTTTTAACTTTTCATATTGAGAGGGGTGATAGTATACTAAGCTCGCATACACTGCACGTATGCTAGGATTCGAACCCAATACCTTTCTTGAGGGAGCAATGACTCCAAACCGCTACACTAGTGAGTTCTTTGTTTTTGGGCCAAAATCTTAGTTTAGCCACTTACCAGTGATTACCTTCGACCCAAAAAAATAAAAACCAAAACCCTTCGACCCAAAAAAGAATAAAAATAGCAGTGAGTGACTACTCCCCCACATAAGTTAAATTTAGTTATCAATCCTAAGTTAATTTCAGTTATGGATTAAATGCATTTGTTCACCATCTTTTGCCTTGACTCTAGTTTTTTTTTTCTTCTCAATTTGGTCACTAATATACTTCTTGTTAGCAATTTTGATCAGTGGTAAGTAATTAGGGAAAAACAATTCGTTTGATTTCGATAAAAATGTTTTATGCACCCTTATGCGCTTTCTATAAAAATTCATTTGTTTCATTTGATTTGATTTTGTCTTTTCTATCATTTGATTTAGTTAACAATTCATTTGATTAAAAGACCACCTTATGCACCTTCTAAAACTAATTCCAATTTTAACTCTCGTGCTTATTTGATAAAGAAATTGAATCTCAAATAATTTTTAAAGTTTAAACTTCAAGTTTGGATCTCTTTGATTTCTTGTTTGAATATCAAATTGAAGGCTATAGACATGATTTTCAACAATCCTTGAATAATATTCGTGAGTTTAACCAAGCTTTTGGTTGTGATTTCAAGCCAATTAGATTAAAATTTCAAAATTACCCTTGAATTGCTAAGAAAACAAAACACTGAGCAAATTGAAGGAAAAAAAACCACAAACATAGTGACCGAAAGTGAAATTGAGGCACTGCTATTCACATCCAGCAATGCAATTAGACACAACAATGACGCCAAACAAAGTAAATAAATAAATAAAAATCTATCAATCGAATATTGAAAAGGAAGAGATTGGCTTGCCGAATGCATCCGATTCCCGCCGTACAACTCCTTTGCAAAATGCTACCAGTGAAGTTATACAATGTAAATATATTTCCCTCTCCTCCATAAGAATCAATGTCAAAGAATGTTCTATGGGTTGAATATACATACAAATAAATTCTATCTAACCAGGGCAAACTCAGCCCCACCAGAAATCCATCTCCAACTTTGAGCTTTTGAGCTACAAAATCATTTGTATGATGCTTGGTCTTCCCCGAATTATTACATGTTAAAATTTATTTTATATAATATAAAAAATCACAATAATCTATAAGCCCCTTAAACACCCAACCCACTTGACAACGTCTCGCCACCTTCTTCGCCAAACTGATAATGCTCATATACTTCGAGCAAGAGTTCCCTACACGGTACAACTGCCCCAAGCTTCATGCAAGCCAAAAAGGCACCTGAAAGCTTGCGATGAAGGCTGTAGGCCTCGTCAGGTGGTGGAGTGACTCTGTACCTCAGCATGGTTGCCCCAAGGTTTGAAATGCTTTGAGTGATATTGGATGAGCGGAAGTCATACCCACCAGGCTTTGAAAATGGCAATCCCACAACAAAACCGGCTTGGACATGAGCCTCTAACATTATTTCTGACTCCGTTCCCGAGAGGAATCCAAGTCTCTTAGACATTTCAATGACTGTACCTCTATCATCATTTGCACAGGCAAGAACCTGATCAAATATGCATTAGAAAGTCCTCAGCGATTCCAGCTCACTTTAAAAAGTTTTAAAGTTCAAACAAACAATTAATATTTAACCACAATTACAACCACAACGTCTTAATCTAACAGACGAAGAGTTGGCTGTTAGCCAAAAAGAAAAAACAAACTATTAAGAGTTGGCTTCGGGATTGAACCATGATAAATCAAGGTCTATAATTCTTGCATGACCAGGTCTTAAATGACATTAGTCCTGTCTGAATAGATGCCTCATTCCTATGTGCCAAGATCATGACAATAGAGACCATAACTGAACCTCAGGCAACATTTATATACTATCTAGGAAGCAGGAACCTTTGTAAGGTAATGATAAAAAAACAGACAAAATTCAATTAAATATAAAGAAAGGAGATTTCACCATTCTTAGATAGTCATCAACAAAACTCTTGGGGTAATCCCTAGCCGCTCCAAAGTCAATCAGATTGATTGTTTTCTTAGCCTCGTCATACAAGAAATTACTCCAATTAGGATCAGTCTGCATTGCATAAAGCAAAATTAGAGCAAGATGAGCTGAGAGCCTAAAACTAGGAAGAATGAATGACTTACTAACCCCCTCAGAATTTTAATTGCTAAAAGCATAATGCAGGAAAAACATAAAACAAAAACCACAAAATAAAGTTCAATTCATGAATAACACCAGCTCAGATGTCAAGCAGAACGACACCCCTGAATCTTTGATATGCTAAACGAACTGATGTAAGAAACTCTTTCATAAATATGAGCTGGACTAGACCATAAGTCTTGCTTAACTTTGGCCATTTAAACAACAGCTGAGATGTCCAGCAGAATGGTTACCCCTGAATCTTGATATTTTAAACGAACTGAAGAAATTAAGTCTTTCATACATATGAACTTGAATAGACCATAGGTCTGGCTGTAAATTGTAAAATGACTCGGAATTTTAGCTACATTATAATTACTTAACATCAGCAGCTGGTGATTAAAAACTTAGTATCTGTGATACACCAACAATAACGTTTCCTAGAGAGAAATATCCTCTTTGGCAACCCAAGAAGACACCCATTGGCCTAAGTCTGTCAATGAAATACAAAGAGAAATTGTCGGTGGTAATAAAAAAAACCACTTCGTCTATGTCATCGTTTAGAATCAATCCATTTTTAAAAATTAATCTTTAGAGTTAGGGAAAGCGTCAATGTTGAGAATCACTAATGTACTTTGGGACTCTATTTGAAGCCTAGAAATAAGGCTATTTCATGTATTTTTTAAAAATTCATATTTGTAATGAAAGAATATTTAGTAATTTTGAAAGGCTTGCAGCCTTGAAAGCTTAATGTTTTTAACGATTAACTATTAAGTATTTCCTCTGCAATGGCAGCAACCATAAATCATCGTCCTCCTCTATCTAAAGTTCTTCTCATTACTATAATTTCTGCCCTCCACCATAATCGTAGGGAACACTCACCTTGTATTGTGCTTCATCAATTTTATATCAGACAACCCAACTTGATCAAGTTAAGAACTGGACCAAGAATGGAATAATCGCCTTCAATGTCTTTAAAGAGGGATGAAGGTGATGATTCAATTTTTGGTCGAACTCGAAACTGGACCCCATCTGGTACCATACTGAAGTGAGACAAAAAAAGGTGGGTATGAAAAGACTTCTACAAGAAATGACTCATTGAATAGTAGAAGAACTCATTTGACTGATTCCTAAATGGCATTTATAAAAGATGGAAAAACTTGAGCTAACATCCTTTGTTTTGGGCTTCCAAAGTTTTCTAACCAAACTACTGCTGTGCATAATACTAATATTGCTATCCTGACAAATAAAATTAGCTGTTGGGGTTTCTTCTGCGGGTCCTACTTTAAGTTGACTAGTACAATGTCAAACCTCAACAGGTGGTACTAAGACATCAATTTAATTAGCGAGAGCAAGTTATTCTTAAGCTTGCATAAAGTGAATGCTCATAAAACAAATTAAGAAAAGCAAAGCAAACCTTACAATAAAATACTACATATGCATGCACTTGTGAAGACACAAGAAAGAACATACCTGCATGAAACGGAAAACAAACAACTCCTTCAAAGTGAGCTCTAGCAACTTTGTGCCAACATAGTTGCGAGTTTCCTGGTTTAATAATGCCACTTTGTCAATAGGTACTCCTGTAGCAAGAGAAACAATATCATGTTAAAGATATATCAACAAAAGTTTGCTCTGTTGATGATACAACTAAGGCTGTTGGCATGCATCACAATGAAAACTTGAAGGTAACTATGTTACTTGATAATAAAAGGAAAATGCTAGAAGACAGCTAAGTCATATAAAAAGCAAAAAAGAAAACATCATTAGTGCCGGTTAAAGGGTGATTTTATTTAAATCCAAAACATTGTCCTTTATACTCTTAAAAAAACAGCAATACCATTTCTTCAATATGCCGCCAGAAAAGTTTGGGTAAAATTGCTTAAACATCTGAAAGTGTAACTTAAAATCGACAGAAAAGTTGCAACTCATTTACAAACGTTATGAGCAGTCCATAATTACATTCACTTGAAATATAAGGCGACCGATGCATGCGGAGCCTGATAAAAATCTGACATCATTCAATTCATAGCTTGCCTTTTAAGTTCATCCTGTGCATTCATAAGCTTAGTTAGGTACCCACACTATATTGATGAAAATTTCAATTGCTGCAACCACTTGTACAAGAAAAAAGGCAGTTTCTATGCCAGTACTTGCATACCCACAACACGTTGTACAGTTCAATTTTACAACAAATTTTGAAATAAACATTGTTTCTTCAAGCGATAGTGTTTATAGAGTAACTTGTCAGCTTTGCATTAGGGTCTACGAGAAAGTCCCTAAGCAAACATGTTGGAATCAGTTCTTTAAATGCTAATTAGGGAACTTTACCCTGGATTTGCTGAGCAACAACATAAACTTTTCAGGGTAAAAATCACAAGGTCATAGTTTAAACAATGGAATATCATAAATGACATAGTTTACTTACCAGAAACAAGCTCTGTCGTTAAGACTCTTTTGCTTGAGATATCATCCACTACAAATGGAACATAAAACCCTTGTGCATTGGATAGCAAATCATGAAACCGTTTTTGATTTTCTGCCTCCAACACATAGTCGCATTCACGGGATAATTCTTCTTTTGCCACCTATAAAGGATCCCAGGAAGAACATAAAAATGCATTGTCAACGGTTTAAGACATTTCATCATCTTCTGAGTTTCAAATTATCTTCCACAATTCTATCTCCATCTGGGTACATTCAATATGGAATCAAGTTCCCAGTTCATGGGCCATAAGGTAATGATCAATGGGGATTAGATACAAACCCATGCTAGAGAAAGAGTAGAACAATGGCCAAATTTGTAAGTGAAGCAATAGAAAAAGTAGGTTCACCTACAATGTTCCTGGTAAACCATGTGAGTCATATTGAATCATTGATACAATATCAGAAGTCTGATTAGAAGAAAAATAATCCCCTTTGGAACCAAAATTTAAGCATGCTGGCCCAAGTCTATCAATAAGGCATTTTTTATCCAAAAAGAAATGTCCTAATAATTAAAAGAGTCAGTTCATCTGTTGCTTTTTTAAATGTCATTTAAAGCTTGTCCAATTGTAAATGCAACTAAAGAGTTATTAGAAGAAGCAATCTAAATGTCATTTAACAGTTGTCCAATTCTAAATGCAACTAAAGAATTAGTTGAAATTTTGAAGAAGCAATCTATATGTTAGTGTCAAGAATTTTTTACTTTTTAATGTCTGCTAATATCTCTTGTTTAGGAAATCAGACTTTGATGAATCAAGATTACATGTTATTGAAAGGCTTGATGCTATCATATCGCCTTCTATAAAATCTCCACCTTATTTTTTACTCTATAACTTGTTTGCAATTATACCAATCCTAAATATTCTCTTCTTCTTCTTTTACCTATGTTCTTCTGTTACTAAAATTTCTGTCATCTACAGCCCATCATAATCACAAGAAGCACTATCTCATGTTGTCGTACATCATGCATGGTTTCCACACTCAAGAATGTGGGTTTTGAAGGCCTCCATCAACACTCAACCTGATATAACCACCATATAAATAGATGAAGGGAAAAAATAAAATAAAAATACCTTCATCGCTCTTTCAAGATAAAGTCCCTTTGGGATTAGATTTGTATAATCTAGAAGAAGTTTCACGTTGTCAATGTCACTTTCAATGCTATCTGCAACACCAGGGTACTGAATTTTCATTGCAACATCCCTACCGTCCTTTGTGACAGCTCGGTGTACCTAAAAATGTTTTAAAGTGGTAAGACAAACAGTCTGAACAATGCAAAATGCATGACAACTTTTACTACACAAATATATGGGATAGATGCAGAAGTCCATGTTGGATTGTGATGGCATATAAGTACATTGATGCCAATCATGCAGGTGTGTTATCAGTTTATGTATTTGAACCAAAGGTAATTTGGCTGCAGAAGAGTATGTTGGGTGAGTGTGTGTAACAATAAACAATCAAATGCCTCACCTGGCCTATACTTGCAGAAGCCAAAGGTTCATAATCAAAACTAATAAGCTTGGATGACCAGTCAGGTCCTAATTCAGCATCCAGAACTTGATTGAGCTGTTTCCTGGGCATGACGTCCGCACCTTGACGGACAATATCCAGAGCAGCCAAGATCTAGAAGAAAAGAAAAGGAAAGACTAGACTGACAATTTGACAAAGACAGTAAAACACTAAAAACATATAATGCAATGTATATGAGTTATTTTAAAAAAGAAAGAGAGAGAGAAATAGAATACCGGAGCAGGGACGAGGGATTCGTCCTGTATACTCAACATCTGTCCCAATTTGAGTGCAGCTCCACGCATTCTACAGAGTCCAAGAGCCAAAAGTTCTGCATTTTTGGGGGACAAAAAAGGAGAAAGAAGAGGCTTGTCTGATGAGTTTTGCGTACCATAAACGAGTCTCTTGGTAGACTCTTGAATGGTTCCCCACGCAAGCCCAGCTCCAAGACCAGCAAACCTTTTTTATATTTTATTGTTTTGTCAGAGAGAGAAACAAACAACAGGTTAGGAAAAAAGAAAAACAATCAATCGCAATCATATACATAATACATCATCATGATCATATGGAGAATGGAGATACCCGAGTGCTCTAGAGAAGGGGGTGGAAGGAACTCGTCTCTCTCTGGGCTTCCGCCTCTGCAATGGCTGCTGAGGTTGTGGTTGTGGCTGTTGTTGGGCCAAATTCTCATTCTTGGCCGAATCAAGTACCTCCACTTGTTGTTGATCAACGTGCTGCACTTGTTGATGTTGATGATGTTCTTCTTGTTCATGCTGCTGCTGCGGAGGAGGAGGAGCAGGAGCAGGAGCAGAAGGAGGAGAAGAAGGTGCTTCTTCATGTACGAAGTATACGACGGAATCTTGGGCTTTGTTGTTGTCGTTTCCATTGGTAGTCGCAGTCGTATTAATGGCGTTGGTGAATTGGGAGAGGGTGCCTTTGGTGAGGCCGGAAAGGTCGGTGGCCGACACGATGGCATTCTTGATTAGGGCTTCCAAATCCCCATTCTTGGCGCTTTGGAAAGCCGGGGATCGTTTCACAAACTCCTTGGCGATTAGAGACACCCCTTTCACCACCCTCCCTACGTCCTTCCCCTTTGCCCACACCATTCTTCTCTTTTCTTTTTCTTTTTCTTCTTATTATTTCGATACACAAATATAATATTGTATAATCCTGGTTTGCTGCTCTCCTCCTCCTATACCAAACATAAACATAACCTCAAAGTATTAACCACCAAACATCCAACCGCCATGTCCGAAACACAATTAAAAAAGCATTAAAGCCGCCGTGAGACGGCCTGATGAGTCGTGTTCCGACAGACTCCACAGTCCACATCTTCATTTTTGTCACACAGAATTCGGCCCAAACTAGTTTCAATTTTGGACCAACTACACCCAAAGTCCTCTTCCTCAGGCCCAGCTTATTTATGATGAACTATTCTGTACAGATTAGCCAGCCCAAAATGTTAAAATACTGTGTTGTCCTGTTTTGGTATTAACTTAATACATGAGTCTATATCTATGAGTCGTTCTACAGTGAGGGTTGCCATATATGAACCATAGAAGTAAACCTTCATATTAGTCACATGATTCATCTGAATAGTAACTTCACTTAAGTTTAATGAAATGATCATGTAGCTAATATGAAGGTCCATATGAGGAGTCCATATATGACACCCTCAGTATAGAATTTCGCCTACATCTATCTATAATTTAGGAGCATACTGTTTACACAAGTACATAGATGAGCACTGACAGGACCTGACCCAAATTCCACTTTGGAATCTGAGCCGAACCCTGTGCGTATCCGACACCTGGCAAGTGTCGAGCACTCTTGATCAAAATGCTCTTCTAAGTTTCCGAAATTCTTTTCCTTCAAGTTTGACTTCTGCCGAAAATTCGGCAGAGTTTCCCTTGTAATTCGCTCGTTTCCCAAAAATTTTACATGTATAAAACATGATTTTATAATCCTAAACGTTCAGCATGGACAATAATAGAATGCATGCAACCAAACATCACATCATTTTTGCCACAGGCCTCTTTAACCCAAATAAATCGTTATGCTATTTGAAATTGATATCAACTTTTAGAACATCAAGAGTACGTTAACAAAATTCAAAATAACTTAGCAGAACAACCTTTTAAACACTTGAACTTGGAGCTGCACCTAGTAACTCTAAGTTGCCTACGTACCCTTATTGAGGGATCAAGCCATACGTAGTTCTTTCACTTATTATATTTGCACATAAGTAGGCTACTCAAAGAATTTCCTCAAATCCATGAATCAATATATATTTTACTTGCATAAATCATATGTAAAAACAACCAAACTCATAAAGCACTTTTAATTCTTCCTTCAAACTCACATAAAGCTCATGTACGCAAGTGAATAACAAAACCATTCATTCCTCGCCTCATAAAATTAGAAAAATATGTATTAAAACTTTTACCCAAAAATACTAAGATAAAATTCTCAATTTTAGTTTAAACCTCTTAAAACCCAAATATTCTCCACCTAGGCGTATTCCCATTTATATTCCGTCAATTCCGATAATATTCCATCAATTCCGATAATATTCCGTCAATTCCATGATTTTCTATTTAATTCCTACAGTATACCGTCAATTCCTTATGTCACATAAAGTGAAACATCCTCGCAGGCCTCGGTAACACAAAGTCAACCTGAGTCGCATTCCTCGCAGGCCTCAAGAACACAAAGTCATCCCAAGCCGCATTCCTCACAAGCCTCGGGAACATAAGGTCAACTCGAGCCGCATTCCTCACAGAACTTGGGGGATATGTAGTCAGCCCGAGAACGCATATCCTCGCACCACACGGTTCAGGAGTCCCCGAAACTCGTGGGGCATTATCATAAATGACAAAACTATTTCAAAGCAACTGGGGGTACTCCCGTGGTGGGTTTGAAAACTATTGTCTGAAACTCATCATAAATTTTCCCTTATTTCACAATCCATTTTCCGACTTTTATATCAACTTTCCAAAAATTAGTTCTCAACCACACTTAAAATATACACCACATTCTGATAACAACTAATGTTCATGATTCATCATCTTCAAACAAATGAGTATATATATAATAAACATTTAATTAATTTATCATCCACACCAAAATCCAATTAGTAAGCCGTTCCTAACTTTACACAATCCAATATAGTATAATACTCATAATAATAAATAAATAAATAAATAAATAACGAGATAAACTTCAAATATTAGAATAACACTATAACATAAACTCATCGTCCAAACATAATCAAAATAGTTCACAAACAGTCGAGCCTCATTTACACGGTCGCTCTAGCACTTCTAGAAGGGTGAACTACCTCGGAAGACTTACAATCAACCGAGGGTCAAACTTTCTACATTGGGTCAACAGGGCCCACGACCTCCATTTTACGATCCGATAGTTCCTATGGGTTCCACAAGGTTTAGGAAACACACCCTGCAAGTTTGGTCCGGATCAGACGGTCGGATCGCTCGCGATCGCACGATCGGACTGTTATCGTTTACCTAAACTTTGAATTATTGAATCGGAGTATCTTGGAATCCGATTCTCGATCCGCGAATTCCTACACAATTCTAGAAGAGCCTAGATCAACATATTTGAGAATGAAGTCGATCCAACGGTCCGAACATATCGAACCCGGATAACGTCTAATATGCAATATCCGATCGACAACCAAACGATAACCAAACTCATATCCGAGCATACTGTCGTGCTCAGGAAGACATGAGGATAATTTTAGGACTCAAGGATAGGCCAAAAAGTGGCCCACGTGCCGACATCGCGTGGGTGTCCAAATAAAATTTCGGTGATCTGAAAATCTTCAAACTGCCGGTCAAGACTTATACCTACATGATCACCACATAGAGTGGAGCAACTTTTGTTCTTGGACCTACCCCAAAAAGTCAATGGAAGTGGCCGGAATCGGAGGCCGAAAATCGGCCAAACTATTATCGCTTATTTAATCACCAAAACGCAGAAATTTCTCATAAATACCACAACCAGCAGCTAGAACACATTGAAAGGATGCGAAAGCATACCAAATTCGAAGAAAATGGTGGCCGGAGGTGTCCGAACGAGCTCCGTGAAATTCTGTCAAAAATTGTCGAAACTAACCTGTTTCGTGGCTTTTTCCGACGACGGCAGCGATGAATTGAGGCTGGGATGGGGCGGGGCTGGAAGAGGGAAGTGAGGTGGTCCTTTTGGGACCGGTGCCGCCAAGAATGGCGGCGTGTTGTGGCGGTGGTGGAGGAGAGAAGTTGCTCCTGTGTGCAAGGGGGGGTGGGGTGGGTCTGTTTTTGCAAAGAGAAAAATGGGAGAGATTGTGAGGGTTTAGGGTTTAGGGTTTAGGGTTTAGGGTTTTGCAACTGAGTTTATTTTGATCGTATCTTTTAAGTTACAATTCCGATTCGAGCCCACTACGTGTCTACAGACTCATTTCGGTACGATCTACATAAATACCACTCACTGCCCCAAAATCTTTCCGGAAAATAAAGGACCAAAGGTGATAATTTGGCAAACTTCAGGAACTATTTGTGATAAAAACCCTTAAAAAATATTAAAGAAAAATTGGACTAAACCAATTGGACTCCACTATTGATTTATATGCATATTTACATTCTTATCTGCAAGGAGGTTTCTCTTACTTTAAAGATCAACAGTTGGTACAGTAAGAAATTGCTTTCTAAAATTCATGAGAATGTGAGAGTATTGTGCTATCCTGATCATTTTCCCACAAGCATTTATTTGTGGTATGCTCTTTTTGAATTGATTCATCTTAGTTATTTTATCTCATGTCAAGATTGAATTAAAAAAACTCTCCAAGTTTATTTTAGGGAGGACTGTATGGTGGGTCGAACAGTCAAAAATTGCCACCTCAGCAAAATAGAGATTTTACTCGGTCGGCCCAACCGCATTATTTATTTATTTATTTATGTATAGGCGCGGGTGAAATAACGTCACTGTATTGGATCTCACTAAGCCTTTAGATGCTTTTGTCCAAATAAACCAGAACTAGTATAACATAGAGTATGAGGAGCTGCCTGATATATGCTATCTCTGTGGGAGGTATGGCCATAAACGATAGAAGTGTGAATTGAATGTTAAAGATGCTGAAACCGTTAATGGTGAGACTCCTACTGCTATGGGTGTTGATGTTGTGGGGGGTAGTTCGGTGGGAATTAACAGGGCTCACTATGAGTCTGACCAGAGCTTGAGAGGTCCATGGATGAATGTTCCCCCTAGGCGCAGGCCTCAATCTAATTTTAAGGGAGTGGGAGGCAAGGATTCTGGGGTTAAAAATAAGGGCTCAAGGTTTGATGCTCTTAGGCAAATTAGTGAGAATTTTGGAAGGAATGAGGGGAATAGTAGTGAGTTTTTTGATCAGACTGGTAACAGACCAATGCAATCTTTCGTTACTGATTTGAATATGGGAAATAAGGTTTGGACAAAATCTAAGGGTAAAAAGTGTGTTGCTAGGCAGGCTTTGGAGGATATTTCGAACAAGAGCTTGCCTGTGAAGAACCGTGTGAATGATAATTGTCAGAATACTGGTGTGGCAATTAGAAATACCCCTGGAAATCGCCAGGCTGCTAGTGTGGCAAGTAAAAGTACCATTGGCACTTCTGATTCTATAGGAAGGGTGGGATTTCAAGGCAAGAAGAGTGTTGTTACTGGTTCTCTACCTGAGCAATTTGCGAGTTGGGATAGTGGACAAACAATTCAAAAGGAAAAAGGGTTGTATATCTTTGGGCATCAGCCACCCAATATAGGGGAGATCGCTACTAGTAGAGATGACAACTCTGGTTTTGACAGTGATGATGAAGTGCTAATCCCTTCTGACAGTGAGGGTTTGGCTCCCACAGAGAAGATGGACCTTTCAGAAGGACATATTAGTTCACATGGTGGACAATTGGCAAGTAATGCCTTCACTCCTAGTGAAGGTATGGCTTTTGAGTCTTAATAAAAGGGTTTTAGCCCTTAAGGTTACTTTATTCTTTAATTGGTGTTTTTATGGATATTTGTTGCTGGAATGTTAGAGGAGCAGCAAGCTCCAAATTTAAGTCTAATGTGCTTGATTTGATTCGCACTCATCGGTTGGATATGCTTTTTATCTGTGAGCCTCGTATAAGTGGAGCAAAAGCTATTTCTGTAGTTAAGTCTCTTGGCTTTCCTTGCTTTGAAGTTGTTGATGCTGTGGGTTTCTCTGGTGGTTTGTGGCTTTTATG